TGATTTCCATAGTGGCTATACTAATTTATACTCCCACCAGTGGTGTGTAAGGTTCCTTCCCCTGACACACACACACATACACACACGCACAAACACACATGCAAACACGCACACACACATGCACATACACACTTGTACACACACATGCACATACACACATGCACACACACACACACACACACACACACACACACACACACACACAGAGGCACATTGTCAGGATTTCTTCCAGCTGGTTTTTATGACAACCATTTTGACTGTGGTAAGATGGTATCTCAGCGTAGTCTGGATTTGCATTTCTCTGGGGGCTGCGATGTTGATGCCTTTTCATGACTGGATTGCCCATGTGTACCTCCTTTGAGCATTGTCTGTCCAGTTCACTTCCTTGTTTATTGGTTGAATTATTTGTTTTATGGGTCCTTAATTTCCTGACTTCTTTATGTGTTCTAGATATTATTCCACTGTCGGGAAATTTTCTCTCATCCTGTTTGTTTCCTTTGCTATGCAAAAGGTTTTTTTTTTTTAATTATTTCATGATTTTTAATTCTTCCATTTGTCAGTTCTTACTGTTATTTCCTGGTCTGTTAGACTCTATCCAGAAATGTCTTGCCTATGCCTATGTCTTGAAATGTTTTCCTTATGTTTTATTATAGTAGTTTCAAAGTTTCAGGTCTTACATCAAGGTCTTTGAATGATTTCAAATTGATTTTGGCATAGCATGAGAGATATGGATCTTAGTGTAATTCTTCTATATGTAAATATATACTTTTCCCAGCACGATTGTTGAATGCTGTCTCTTTTCCAACATATGTTTTGGTGCCTTTGTTATGAATCAGATGACTACAGCAGCGTGGGCTTATTTCTGGGCTCTCTGTTCTTTTACTTTGCTGTCTGTCTCTTTTGTGCCATTCCTGGTGGTTTTAATACAGCTGTGGGGTATACTTTTAAATCAACTTTTGTAACTGCCCCGTCATTGTCCTTTCTGCTTAGGGCCTTACTGCCTATTTGTAATCTTTGTGTTTCCATATAAAGTTTAGGATTGTTTCTCATATACGTGAAGAATGTCATTGGAATTTTAAGGATGATTACATTGCATCTGCACATTGCTTTGAGTAATGTAGCCGTTTTCACAATATTCTGCCAATCTGTGAACACAGGACATCTTTCCATCTTTCAGTGTCTTCTTTGATTTCTTTCTTAGGTGTTTTATGTTTTTATCCTAGAAGTCTTTGATTTTCTGTTCACTCAAGGCAAATGCAGGGATCCTGTGAGCAGGTAGTATGATGACCGTCTTGTGTTGTTTTGCTTTGTTTTGTTTTTCTGGAAAGAAATTCCTTTGTCTAGGTCATATCTAGAATAGATACTGGGAAGTTTGCCCTCCTTGGGAAGCTGTAGATTTCACAGGCTGTTGCCTGCTTTCTACTTGTTCAAGGGAAACTGAGGATGATATGTTATGTAGTCAAGGGCTTCTTTAAAGAAAGATAGTGGTTTCTTTAGCAGTATAGTTCTGTAGGAAATGAAACTAACATAGAGTCTGGGTCTGTTCTCTTTCTGTCCAGCAGCATATGCCAGTAACTACAACCAAAGGTAAATTCTAGGTGTACATACAATGAGAGAGAGAGGGAGGGAGAGAGGGAGAGAGGGAAGGAGAGAGAGAGAGAGAGAGAGAGAGAGAGAGAGAGAGAGAGAGAGGCTCACTTTCACTGTATAGCTCAGGCCTGCTTACCTCTGCCTCCTGAGTACTATGATTGCAAATGTGCAACCAGCATGTCCTGCCTCATGTCTCAAAAGTTTTGAGTTTGAACGTAGTGAACTTTTTCGACCCTTTGACCTTGCAAATGTCTGGACTCTTTATCCCCGTTTCTTTCTGCTTCCCAACCTTGTGATTCTCTCCTGTGTTCGTCTCCTCAGTAGCTTACTGAGGAGCGCCAATAAAAACCAGCTCTCAACACACATTACCCACAGTCTGCCTCGTAGAAGCTTCCTTGGGGCTTAAAATTACAGCTTAATGACATCTGAGTCACAACGGGTTGGCTCTCACCACTGCATGCCCGAACACCATCTGTCTAGACACCTTTCACCTCATCCTGGACAACCACTGACCGGAGTCACTGTGTCACTTACTTCTAGGTTAATAGGGTATCACCCGCCTCATCAATTTTTACATTGATTGCATAGGATCAAAGCTACGTAACAAAGAAATCCCAGCAGCTTTAGTCTAATAAAGTCTTTTCTGCCTAATAGAGAGTTCCTGAAATTTTTGGTGATAGGACAACTCTCTTCTATCGATCTGAGAGCTAATCTCTATCAGAATAATCATCAAGAAGATAATGGATTCACTTTCGAAATGCTTAAGGGAAGTAACTGACAGCCTTGACTCTGTTACCCAACGAAATTATCTTTCAAAAAGTGAGGTGATAGGAAGACATTTTCAGACACACAAAGATGAAGAGTGCTTGTCCCAGACTCTCACTGAAGGAACAAACAGAAGGAATAGTTTTATGAGAGAAGATTAGGCAAGAAGATAGGAAGATGCAGGAAACAAGAGTGAATTTAACGAAACACACCAGTAAACTAGTGATGGTTACTCAGATGGACGTTAGCGCTCAGCCGATGCCTGTTCTTTTTAGAAAACCTATGTTGTTTCTCTCTGAAATTTTATTATAGTTGTGACCTCAACTATAGTGTCTAGATTTGGATAACTACTTATCCATCATTTGTCTGTCTGTCTGTCCGTCCATCTGTCTATCCATCTATCTTCTATCTATCTATCTATCTATCTATCTATCTATCTATCTATCTATCGCCTATCATCTTTCTTTCAGCAGTTAAGATCCTGTCCTAATGCCAGGTATGGTGGCACACACACATTTAACCCCCTTACTCGAGAGACAGAAGCAGGCAGATCTCTGTGAGTTCAAGGCCAGCCTGTTCTACATAGTGAGTTCCAGGACACCCAGGGCTACGCTGAGAGATGCTATCTCAGAAAGCCAACAACAAAATCAAAACAGAAAGATACTGTTCTAAGAATCATACCCTCTCATTTTTAAATTTCTATTCTCTTTCCTCAGATATAGCTTCTTCATTCTCTGCTTTCTTTTTCTGGAATTTCTATTCAGCAGATACTGGAGATTTTTATTCTGAAATTTCTCATTGTTTCTCTTCTGTGTTTTACATCTGTCTCTCTGGGCTGTTTCCTCTGGTCTGTCTTCCTGTTTGCTCATTCTTGTTTCAGCCATGCCTAATCTCACCATCAGGATATATTTCAATGACCAGTTTTCACCTCTGGGATATATATATATATATATATATATATATATATATATATATATACTTGAACATATGTTGGCATTTTCTATTTTATGATGAACTAACCTTACCCTTCATCACCTCTTTGAAACTTTTGATCAGATTATTAAAGCCCATTCAGCATTCCTATAATACTACTTGTTATTTGGTATGATTTCTTCTTGGTGTACCTGTTAACCATCTCTCACAGTTATCCTGTTCACTGGAGGATCCTACCTAGTCCGTGAGTATGAGTGTGTCTTTATGGTACACCCTATCTGAACTTTCCAGAACTCAATAGTTCTAGACCAGTTTCATGATAGTGTTTGGCCTCGATTTTAAGACACCATGGTTGGTAAGGGAATCTGTGTACATATCTACATCTACACCTAGAAAGACTGGCTTCTTATGCTCATGGTTCTGAGGCAGGCAGTCTGTGATTGGTGCATCCTGCCCCTGACAAAGCTTTCTGGTCAGCACTGTCTTCTCACTGTCTTCAAGGACACTCATTCAAGGTCCCCAGGTGGCTTAAACCCATGCCCATAAGGCATAAATTTTCCTCCATTTATGCTCATGTGCTATGAAATATCTTCATTTCTGACTTCCAGAAACATTCATTTTCTTGATCTAAATTTGACCTTAAATTTCATATTTGATACTAAAATTTTTATTTATTGTAGCATTTATTGACGTTCCCATGTCACTGTAGGGGGCCAGGTTGACATCAAAGTAATAGACGTGAGATTAGGTTGGTCAATATTAGCAAAACTTAAAAAGAGACAAATTTCCTGTCTGCTGTGGGATGTTAATGTATGTCCTGTGGGAGCCCTTCTTTGGTTCCTTGTGGCGTTACCCAGCAGGTTTGCATAGAGGATGATTAGGACCATGGGCCTGAGTGCAGGTGTCTGAGATGGTCTGCACTTGGCTGTACTGGGGGATGGTCTGTATGTCAAGTTGCTCTGATTGGTCAATAACTAAAACCTGATTGGTCGTGGCTAGGCAGGAAGTATAGGCGGGACTAACAGAGGAGAAATAAAAGAACAGGAAGGCAGAAGGAGACACTGCCAGCCACTGCCAGGACAAGCAGCATGTGAAGATGCTGGTAAGCCACGAGCCACGTGGCAAGGTATAGATTTGTAGAAATGCGTTACTTTAAGATATAAGAACAGTTAACAAGAAGCCTGCCACGGCCATACAGTTTGTAAGCAATATAAGTCTCTGTGTTTACTTGGTTGGGTCTGAGCGGCTGTGGGACTGGCGGGTGACAGAGATTTGTCCTGACTGTGGGCAAGGCAGGAAAACTCTAGCTACACCTGTCCACTGCCTTCTCCATGCTATTCTGGCTCTGCCCCATCAGGACAGCCACTCACAACCTTTCTGGCTGGACCTACTGACCACTTCATTCATAGTTAGAATAATGTCTCTAAACTGATCGCTTTATTTACAGTGTTAGAAATGATCCAGTGACTTCCTGGTATAATAGTGTCTTTTTATTGGGTTCAGACTGTCCGTGGTGAAGCTTAGTTGAAAACAATGATGGTATTGCTTCTCCAGCACAACTTTGGAAATTTCTCCGACTTTCCAGTAGCTTCTTATTTATGTACAAAATTTCCTACCTACTTATGTTTGACCTTGTCCTGAAATGTTCTATTATGTCAGTCACATTTTTCCTCAACTCCTTCCTATTGCTTTATGCATGGCTGTATAACAAGTTGCTCTGAAACCTTGCATTTTAACACAGTTAGCATTTATTAACTCGCCATTCCTATATCAAAAAGAATCAAACTTGGGTTAGACAGATCCTCCAACTCAGAATCCTCTGACTGCAACTAAGATGTCGTCCAGAGCTAGAGGAGACTCAGTTCCTGACGGACAGGATCTGCTTCCAAGGCTATTTGAATAGTTGTTAGCAGAACTCACTTCCTCCCAGGATTTGAGGGGTGGGGGTCCCTCACTTCTTGCTCCATGGGTCTCTCCACAAGGCTTCTCATAACATAGCAGCTGGCTTTTGTCTGAGCAAGCAAGAGGGAACGAAACAGAAAATGTTACAATCTCTTAAACTCTCACTGTGAAATCATTGTATCATCTTTTTTTTTTAGCCACATTCTAATTATTTTAAGCAAATTACTAGGTGCAGCTCCAGAGAAAGATTGGTGCATAGTATGACTACCAGTCTAATATCATTGATAACTACTTCAGAAGATGTTCATTAGATCCTTTTAATTTTTCTGAGCTTCTTGTCTTTCTTTTGCTCTAATCTCTGGTCTGGCTCTCAGCCAACACTCTGGGGATTCCCTTCACTTTTCTTTTGAATTATTTTCATTATTACATTGTATGTGTATACGTGCGTGCGTGCGCGTGTGCATGCGTGTGTGTGTGTGTGTGTGTGTGTGTGTGTGTGTGTGTGTGTGTGTGT